CCAGCCCTGATTATGCACTATTGGGGTCCCTCAGCCTGGTCTGTGCCCTCTCAAAATCCAGGACCCCTCAGGGGATGTCAGAGAGCTGGTTTTGGCCAGATCCACGCAGGCCAGGCTGAGGGACCTCACTAGTGCATGAATCTGTGCCCCAGGCCTCTAGTCCAATTTAAAAATGGGGAGAAGACCTGAATCGACACTTCTTCCAGGAAGACATAGAAGTGGCCAACAAATATAAAAAGATGCTCAACCTCACTAGCTATTAGGGAAATGCAAATCAAAACTGCAGTGAGATAACACCTCACCTGTAAATGGATATTATCAACAAGACAAGTAATAACAAGTTTTAGAGAGGTTGTGAAGTTAAAGGAACCCTCATTTACTGCTGTGGGAATGTAAACTAGTACAGCCACTATGGAAAACAGTATGGAGGGTCTTTAAAAAATTAAGAATAGAGTTACTATATGAATCAGCAACTCCTCTTCTAGGTATCTACTCAAAATTTGAAAATATTTATTCACATAGATATATGCACCCCTATGTTCACTGCAGCATTACTCATGGTGTCCAAGACATGAAAACAACCAAAGTGTCCTTCAATAGATGATTAGATAAAGAAGATGTGCTACCTACATGCAATAGAATACTACTCAGCCACAATAAAAGATGAAATACCAGCCACTGACCTTGGAGATGAATGAAAGGCACAGCTTTAATGCAGTTGTAAACTCTTATGTACATATGAAAAGGTTAAGTACATCCAATATGTTCTCAACCATTTAGAGAAAAGCAAATCCATAAAAAGAAGGCTGGAAGGAAAATTGCCAAATGTTAACATTCATTGTCTTTAAATAATGGATTTTTTTTCTGTTTCTGTATACTTTTTTTCTACTTTTCCAAATTGTCCTCAATGGACATGCTTTGTTCTTATAATAAGAATGATAAACAAAATCTAAATCACCAAACTAATTCTGAAGGCTAACCTGATCCTTCAAGTTATGATTTAGAAAAGATGTGGATAAGTGATTGCACATGGAGATTCATTAAATACCCCAGTATTTAATGTGAAACTATGTTAGTTACATATGAGCCCATGAAAAGTACATCCACCAGTCTCAGTATTTTATGTGAAACTATGTTCCTGTTACATCTACCAGACTCAGAACACGTGTAGTATACATGCAGACAAGCAAGAAAAATGCCCCCTCTCCCCAATTCAGTTCTTATTGAACAAATTATTGACATCAGGTCTGAGTGAAATTTCAGGACTCTACTATTCCAGAAGATTACTATGAATTTCATGAATGATTTACTACTGTCATTGTTTAATGCTACCACATCCTCATATTTATAGAAGCCACATTCTCTTTTGAAGCCTTCCCTCTTCCACGCTCTCTTTTACCACCTGCTCTTGTTTGACTCATTTAGAAAAAGGAACCTCCCCCTAAAGCCCAGGTCAATATTGAGATAAATGAGCTCTATTTTCTGAAGGCAATTTCTAAGGGATGGCCGAAATGTGTTCTGAGCAAGGGTGATAGGGTAGAGAATAGGTCATGTTCTTTATAACTCCAGGCTCAGCACAGGACACCCCCACCCAACCCACCTGCTTGTCAGTAAATACAAAGTGAATGAATGGAATGACTAGGTCTCACTTACTTGGGCCTGAAAGTTCTGTTTTTGTTTTTTATTTGTTTTTTACTAAGTTTATTTACTTTAGAGTCACACGCATATCAGAACTACTCATAGCCCACTGAACAGTTTGGCAAACATTCATACCCTCTTTGTGACTAGGTAGAATCTCCTTGAGCACTGGGCTTACCCTCCGGGACTATTCCCCACCTCCACCTCTCCACCCCCATCATTCTCTACCACTTAAAAAGCTGGAGAGTACCCAAGCCTGCCAAGAGGTCTGAAGAGTCCTAAACATGAGTCCCATGACTTAATACTCCCAACAACCACGGGAGCTACATGCATTTTCTTCCCCTCACATTGTACAATGTGGATGCAGCATGCTGGTTTTCAAGGCACTTGGGGAGAGAAGGGATTACCCAAGCCTACTCCTCAGACTCTAAGGCCTGAACATCTTCCACTTCACTAGAACCTGGGCAGAAGGTACCCCCACTGCACAAAGAAGGAAACGAGGGCCCAAGACGTTCAGTAGCCCGGGACTAAGTGGGGTCTCTCTCTTGAGTCTTTGCTGCCTTTTGTGTTATGATTATTCTCATAAAAGGAGTCTGTGGAAGCCCAGAGCAAGAGTAAAGTGAATCATTTGGTAAACACTAAAGAAAACTGATCCCCAATGATAACCTCACCAGATCTACCATTGGTATCTATGGCTTTGTTTAATAACCAAAGCCTATTCAACTCCTTAAGGACTTCATTATCTGACTTAAAAGGTTGTTGTTATAGCAACCATCATAACTTTGACTATACTGTGACATACCAACAAAAAACTCCTTTGATGCAAAAGTTTCCTTTGTGCAAAGAGAGGCACTAGCCCAGGCCAGGTGGCTCAGTCGGTTGGCACATCACCCCATATACCAAAATCCTGTGGGTTCCATTCAGGGTCCATGTCAGGGCACAACCTAGGTTGTGGGTTTGATCCCTTTTCTGGGGGTAAGGGGGGTGCACAAACAATTGATGTTTCTCCCTCTCTTCCTCTCTCTCTAAAATAGATAAACACATCCTCTCCTCGGGCAAGGATTTTAAAAAAGAGTCAGTAAAAGCAGACACCTTGCTGAGTGTCTTTAGGCAAGTAATTTCTCCTCTCTGGGCCTCAGTTTTTCTATCTAAAAAATAAAAGGGTCTGACCAGATGATTCCTGAAGTTTCTTATGTCCAGTGGACTCACCATGAAATGAGACACCCTGGAAACCCTAAGAAAATAAACAAATATAGCCAGGAGACAACAGGGACAGGGCAAAACAGCATGTTAGCTTTAGGGGAACCCAGACTCCCAAGTTTTTTTGGGTTTTCCAACTTCTTCTCTGCCAAAGACAAAAATAAGCAGCTACTTAGATGGAACTCTCATAAAATTTTTAAATTAAATAAAGTCAATGCAAACAATGTTTTGTTCTCCCACAAGTGGCCTAGGAGAAGCACGCTAAGAGATACTTTCTTCCCAGCCGGGCTGGTGTCAACAGCCCATGCTTATGCCCAAACAAAGGCCTTCTGGCACAGGGATGAGAGGCAAAACATCTAAGTCTCCACAGTTGGCCCCATTCCAATTTGAAGGGAGGGGCAGCCAGGAGAGAAAAATAACTAAGTTTATTGAAAGGCCAGATGAAGAATAAGGAATTACTAAATCTATCCTTTTCTCCGATGAATAAAGAACTCTTGAAAGGGATAATGGAAGGGTGCACTTTTCAATCTGAATTACTTTCTTTGTTTAACTCTGTTTTGCCTAAAGCCATTTCCTTTTAAGCCAAACACAGGATCCTGGTTTTGCCTTTAGTTTTGCTCAGCTTGGCCTTGAGCAATGTGGGAGCTGGAAGACCCACACTCAAGTCCCTTCTCAGTTCTGATTTTGGCTTAATCTTGAACAAGTGGCTGAACTCAACAGGTCTCGGTTTTCCACCTATAAAATAAGAGGGCTCACAGGATGCTCTCCAGACCCTCAATGAAAGCGGTGTGGGACTAAAGGATCCCCAATTCTCCCCAGAGACAGGACCATCTCCAGCTGCACCAACCAAGGTGAAGCCACAACCGGATGGCTCAGCAAGCACACTGAAACAGCAGTGCCTACATTCCCACTCCCTCCATCTTCAGGGTTCACTCTTGCACCAACACCAGCACCTAAAAGTCCAAGTCACCTTCCCAAGCATCTTGCTACTGCCTGAACAGCTCTGATGAATCAAAAACTGCAAAGCTGGGCTGAGCACTTTGTAAGCGCAACAAACCAGAAGGGCCTCTCTTTCCGGACCTCGGAATTCCCCTCAAACTCTAATCGAACTAAAAATAATAGCGCCCCCGCCTCCACGGGAGGCCTCGGCCGGCCTTGCTAGTAAAAATGCATCACAAGTCAAAAGGGGCCAATGACACTCGGGCAGGCTAGACACATGGACCTACAAAGCAAAGCGCAAAGGAAACCACCACGCCGGGCGCTGTTTAAATTGGACCGTTCTTCCCACAGGCTGCAGAGGTGCTCGCGACCTCCCTCCAGAGCGCAGGGACAAGGGCGTACCAGGCACGGTCTTTTTTGGGGGGTGCGGGAACCCATAGATCCTTAATTCCACCCCATCTCTAAGAAACCTCCGTGAGATGGGAGTAAGAGGTTGTCCGGATCGCGTCAAGTCATGTACTACCACCGGGACAGACCCAGCCTGCAGTAATCTTTTCGTCGCTGCTTTTCTTGTTTCGTGCTTTGTTTTGTTTGGTTTTTTTGCCCCCTTTTTCAAGTCTGGCAGTGTGTGCGGATGCCCAGGTGGTACCTTTTCAGTGTCTTTGTCGACCTCCTCCAGCAAGCGGCGCCCCCGGAGCTGCTCTTGGCGCCTTAGCGGAAACAATGGCCGGGCTCCGCGGGGCGGCTCCTCCAGGTTGGCAGCCCGGGGCTGGGCGCACGTGCGTTTGTTATGGTGCCCGTGTCCCCACCCCCGTCGGGAAGCTCCGTTTCCTGGTCTTTGAACCTCCCAGGCGGGATCTGAAGGAACCCGGCCGCTGCGATGCGTCCCACCCTTCCTTGCAGACAGCGCAGCGGGGGAAGCAGGGTTCCGGGTGGCCGAGCGCACGTGGGTTTGTTGTGGGTCCCCAGATCCTGGGGCGGCGGCGGAGAAACCAGAGCGGTCCCTCTCCCAGCACAAAAACACAGGCACCCCCGGCTCTAAGGTGGCCCGGATAGCAGCCAAGGTGGGGCTGAGGCGGCGCTGGACGCCGATCCCTTGCGCCCTGGGCGAGCCCGGCGGCCTCCGCTCCCCTTCCCTCCCTAAACCCTACGCATGCCTCCTCCTGGGGGTGCCCCCCCTCCCCACCCCCGGCTGCGCAGTGGCCCGCGGCACCCCTACTCACTCGGCGCGCTGGCGGCGTGGAAGCTGCCGCTGCTCCGCCTGCACACACCCCGGCCAGCCGGCAGCTGGCTCCCTTTGTTAGCGCTGGGCAATGCCCCGGGCGTCTTCCCCAGCCGGCCCAGCCCGGACTCCCTTCCTCAAGGTGCTCCGGACTCGGTCCAGGGCGGGGGGCCGGAGAGCCCGAAGCTGGGAGCCCCCCACGCCGCCCAAAGGGAGGAGGGTCTTCAGGGGGGAGGGGAGCGGGAGGCAGGGGATGAGGGGTGGAGGGGACTGGAGAGGAAGGGAAGAGGAGCGTGGTAGAGGGGCGGGGAAGTGAACGGTCTCCGTTATGCAAATAGTCAGGAAGACTGTGTTTCCCCGACACGCGGGGCCCCAGGCCGATCTGGCTGGCCCTCCGGAGGTCGCCAGAGAGCAAAGATCAGAATCAGGGGTGCCTGGTTAGGGTACCGCGTGATGCTGGGACCCTGCCTCCTCCAGAGGAGGGCCGGAGGGCAGGCCTGAACAAGGGGGAGGGGCAGCGCGGTGGGGCCAGGATCTCCACATGCTGGCTCTACCCCAGGTCTGAGGGTTGAATCCAGCACTGCCCCTCTTTTCATCCTAATAAAAGGGACTACGATCCTGGCTGGGCTACTGATTGGCTACGTGACCCTGAGCAAGTCACTTAACTTCTCTACGCCTCGATTTCTTCTTATGTAGAATAGGAAGCAACAAAATCTCTTTCACGGGGTTAGGAAGACCCTCCCAACTTCCAGCGTCTCGCGTACTCTGTGCTCTTCAACGCAATCGACAGCAAGGAAGGAGGGCTGGCGAATCCCCGCGCACAGTGAGACTGCCACTCCCAGGTACCTGCAGCCCGTGGGCCAGCGGCCTCAGGTAAGGGAGTCCGGAAGGAAGGGAGCAGTTTCCTTCCCGTCACTGAGGCTGCTAGAGGAAGGCAAGAGGAAACGGCATGCTGAGCAAGCTAAGGCAGAAAGGGTGTGACCACCTGAGGCCATAATCATCTCCCAGATGCCTCTAGAGGCCATCTTGACTCAGCTTGGAGGGAAGGTGGTGTGTGTGGCAGGGGGGAGGAACTGGAGAGTGGAAGGTAGTCTAGGTGCTCTGGACACACGAGGTGGGGTACACACTCTGCCGGGGCTTGAAGCCCAAGCCCAGAACTCTCTGTCCAAACCAAGGTGGCCATTCCCTACCACCAGTAGCATCCTCATCTCACCCCAATACCCTCTTCCAAACACTGCTTCCTCCCTCCCCAGATCCTGGACCCCTACTGTTGTCTCGGCTGGCCCCTCCCAGCTGCAGTGGAAACATTATTGCTCTGTACGCAGAGCTCCAGTTGGAGAGAGTGACAAGCAGACTGAATTAAAATTTCTGTGTGCTGGTGTGAGTTTCTTAGCCTCTCTGAGCCTCCCATTCTTCGTCTGTAACATGGAGATATTAATGGCAGTGCTGTTTCCAGAATTATGTGAAATCGTCTCTGAAGCACTTGGCTGAGTTGGCATACAAAAAGCGCTCCTAACAGTAAAATGTAGGTGTGGTTGAGTGGAAGCAGACAAACTCATAAGACTAGTTGGGGAGGTTTTAGACTTTTTTCTGAAAAAAATGAAAGCTATTAAGAGATTTTGTGTAGGGAGCATGACATGCATCTTTGTGTTTCCCGCTAATTTCTCCGGCAGCATACTGAAAAATGAAAGGCAGGAACAGAGACTGCAAGCATAAAATGCAGAGACCAACTGGGAAGCTCCCACTGGTGGAAATATAATAGGAGGGATGGCAATGACGGAGGGGATGAAAAGGGGACACCCAAATAATACCTACCTTTTGCAGAGCAAAAGCACTCTGCTGATTATGTTGTCTCTCATCATAAGATAGGTGGTGGCCTTCGCCCCACTGTATAGTTGAAAAACTGAAGTCACCTCGGAAATGGAAGAGTTGGAATTCACATCCCCTTCGACATTCACTGAAAGCCTTCATCATTTTCTTCTTCTGTATCACTTTTGTGTCAAGAACCAGAAACAGAGAGGTTTTTGTAGAATGTTGTGGAGTCCTAAGTCCATGGTTGTCTTTATCAGCACTCTTACCAAATTATGAGGGAAACAAAGAACACTCTTGTGTATTTTTGACTTGCAGATTTGAAATGAACACAGATGACATGATAACTCCAAGAACTTCCTGGAGTAGGAGTACACCCTGGATAGCTTCCAGGATGGGAGCAGCTGTGGGCTATTCCATTAGGGGCTGCTCCCTCAAGCTTGCTGTTTAGTCAGTTGGGGCTGTTTGACCTATCCGTGAGAGGCAGGAAGCTGAAAACCATTCACTGGGGGACAGTTCTGTCCTCCCTAGCCTACTTATGAGGCTTCCATACCTATTGTCTCCGGGGCTTCTGCCTTGACAAGTTTTTTCCCCCTTAAGAAGTACAGAAATCTACTTTCTCTCTGGACACTATCTCAGCCCCTCACAACCTCAGTCTTTGCCCATAAATAATATTTTTGGTAATGTGTTTCTCCATCATCATTTTAGACACTGTACTGGCTAATACAAATAATGCCCTATTCTATAATGTAAATGTAAACAACAACCTACTCACAAACAACATTATCATAGCACTCTTTAATTGGAGGTGTTATTGAGGTCTTGGTGGAGTGGGGGGAAGGGTGAGGTGCAGGCATTGAAAGTGTCCTCTCAGACCCTTCTCACTCCACTATAGATGCTCATCAAAACTCTTAGAATCACCTTCCCAGTTCTCCTCTACATGCTTTCAGCACCTATTGTCCAACCTTGGGCCTCAGCGCTATCCACTTCAAGGATAAAGATACCTAGAGACAGCTAAGTCTATAGAACCTAAGTCAGAAAATAGAAATATAGTAACAGCATCTCTAGTTAAAACACTCAGGGACTGCTCCTACTGACCCTGCACAGATGGGCCAATGGGGCAGGAGAGGATACTAGATGGCAGCGGCTTAACACTAGACACAGACCTCATGGTAGGACCACATGGCAGCCACATAGCCTCTAGTAGAGCAAGCAGTGGCCTGGTGGCTCCAAGACCTCAGAGTAAGGTATAAGCAAAGGTATAGGATAGGTCAGAGAACTGGATCTATTGTGTGGGCACAAGTGTGGTTGGACTGTCTTTCACCCAATCAGCTTCAGTGTCCAGCCCTGTCCTAGGAAATAAAGGAAAAACCACGTTTCCATTATCAAATCACTTGTGTATTAGCAAAATTTCTTCAGTTCATAATAATAATCACCATGTACTGAATATCTACTAGTACTGTGTGCAAGGCAGTCTATGTGCATGTTCTCATTGAATCCCCTTGGGGGAAGATGGATCATTCTAGAACCCTAGTGCACTTAAGTCATCTTGAGTTCTTCCTGTTCCGGCCTTAAGGCCAATCTTGGCATGAGATCAATGCAAAGGGTCAGGAGGATGACTACAATACTGATGGTTTCTTAAGGAGGCAAAATGGTGTTACACCAAACATCATGAGCAAGACCTACAACACCCACCTACATCATCCTTTTCTGCAAAGTTCTACTCCTACAGTCACCCTCTCACCTTCCTGCCTCTGTCTCCTCAACATCCCTCAATCCTTCACAGTATTCCTCCAGCTCCCTTTCCACCAAGGTTCTTCCCTCTATACAGACTCCTTGATTTTAATGTTAATTAAGTTCATTTCAATTTATTTTAATTAGCCTTTCTCAGTGACTCCAAAGGGTGTGAAAAAGTTGGAAGCTACAAATAAATAAAGAGAATTCACAAGAATATCAATGAATGGCTTGCATATACATTATTTCACTTTAGTCCTCTTCAGACTCACAATAACCTGTGAGGTAGGTAAATTTCTTTTTCTTTTAATATATTTTTATTGATTCAGAGAGAAAGGAAGAGAGAGATAGAAATATGACCAGGAATCGAACTGTGACCACCTGGCTCATAGGTTGAAGCTCAACCATTCAGCCTTGCAGGTAAGGTTCTTTATCATCCCAGCTAAAAATCCTGAGACTTAGGGGTAAAGTGGATTGCTTAAACTCTATTAGTAAGCATTGCACTGTGCTATGTTGAAACCAAGGCCTCCTTTTTTTTTTTTTTTTTTTTTTTTTTAATGCCATTTCTGGCCCCAGGGCTGCAAAAGGCTAGATAAGCCTATCAAATGTCACTGAGACTTTACAGGCTGCAGCTGCCAAAACTGCTGCCCTGCTGCCTGGGGGCAGAACTCATAAACTATGCCCAGGAGACGAGATGCACCAGGAATGGCAGGAAATACAGGGGTAAATGGACTCTGCGGAATCAAAGATGCTTATAAAAAATTATTTCAAAAAGATCCCAAAAATTGGTTTCTCTCAAGGGACATCTATCAGAACAAAAGTAAGTGCAAACTGCCTACTGTGTGTCCAGGACCTGAAAAGGACTATCTGATAACCTGCAGTAAGGGTCAGGCTTTGCGTAAGAGATGTTGGATAATGAAACTTCCTTGTAGTTAACAGATTTTTCTTAGTGCAGCAGGGAGAACCAGTGTTTGATACCAGTTGGTATTTGTTCTAAATTTACTTCTATACAGTCTCATGTGGATTTTTTTTAAATCTATATTTAATTGTTTTCCCCGCTGATTTTACTGATAAAGTTTGCTTTAGGGAATTTAGAAAAGTCAGACAAGTATAAAGAAGCAAGGTGAAAAAATTGGCCATAAGAAGAATTGACTTTTTGGCCTATTTTCTTTCTCATTGCCTGTGTATTTTTCTAGAACTTTTCATAGTTGAGATAATAATGTATATATGTTATATCCTGCTTTTCTCTCCTATCTAGAGTACTTAAAAGCATTTTCTCTGTATTTGTATTCATTCACTTCAGTCCTTATTAGAGGCAAAGGAAATACTACTCTGAGACAAGTTACTATTGGTTTATTACACCATTCATTTTCTCTCTGGGAGACAGTTTAGTTCAGTGGCTGAGAAAACAGATTCTGGAATCAAACTGTCAGAGTCTGAATTCTGACTACTACCTTCAAGCTATGTGACATGGGACAAATTAACCTCTCTGGCTCTATTTTCTTACCTGCAAAATGAGGATTAGTAGTATCTACTTCACAACATGGTTCTAAATATTAAATCACATTAAAATTGCTTAGAACAAATACGTGGGATAGTGTAAGTGATTGCTATTAGCAATATATGAGTGCATCATTAATTATTCAACCATTCTCCTGTAGCTGGACATTAAGGTTGTTTTCAATTTTTCCACTAACATAAATAGTCCTTCAATAAACTATCCATTG